CGCACTTAGAGGGCGCGCACTTAGAGGGCGCGCACTTAGAGGGCGCGCACTTAGAGGGCGCGCACTTAGCGGGCGCACACTTAGAGGGCGCGCACTTAGAGGGCGCGCACTTAGAGGGCGCGCACTTAGAGGGCGCGCACTTAGAGGGCGCGCACTTAGAGGGCGCGCACTTAGAGGGCGCGCACTTAGAGGGCGCGCACTTAGAGGGCGCGCACTTAGAGGGCGCGCACTTAGAGGGCGCGCACTTAGAGGGCGCGCACTTAGAGGACGCGCACTTGGAGGGCGCGCACTTGGAGGGCGCGACTTGGAGGGCGCGCACTTGGAGGGCGCGCACTTGGAGGGCGCGCACTTGGAGGGCGCGCACTTAGAGGGCACGCACTTAGAGGGCGCGCACTTAGAGGGCGCGCACTTAGAGGGCGCGCACTTAGAGGGCGCGCACTTAGAGGGCGCGCACTTAGAGGGCGCGCACTTAGAAGGCGCGAACTTAGAGGGCGCGCACTTAGAGGGCGCGCACTTAGAGGGCGCGCACTTAGCGGGCGCACACTTAGAGGGCGCGCACTTAGAGGGCGCGCACTTAGAGGGCGCGCACTTAGAGGGCGCGCACTTAGAGGGCGCGCACTTAGAGGGCGCGCACTTAGAGGGCGCGCACTTAGAGGGAGGGCACTTAGAGGTCGCGCACTTAGAGGGCGCGCACTTAGAGGGAGGGCGCGCACTTAGAGGGAGGGCGCGCACTTAGAGGGCGCGCACTTAGAGGGAGGGCGCCGCACTTAGAGGGCGCGCACTTAGAGGGCGCGCACTTAGAGGGCGCGCACTTAGAGGGCGCGCACTTAGAGGGCGCGCACTTAGAGGGCGCGCACTTAGAGGGCGCGCACTTAGAGGGCGCGCACTTAGAGGGCGCGCACTTAGAGGGCGCGCACTTAGAGGGCGCGCACTTAGAGGGCGCGCACTTAGAGGGCGCGCACTTAGAGGGCGCGCACTTAGAGGGAGGGCGCGCACTTAGAGGGCGCGCACTTAGAGGGCGCGCACTTAGAGGGAGGGCACTTAGAGGGCGCGCACTTAGAGGGCGCGCACTTAGAGGGAGGGCGCTTAGAGGGCGCGCACTTAGAGGGCGAGCACTTAGAGGGCGCGCACTTAGAGGGCGCGCACTTAAAGGGCGCGCACTTAGAGGGCGCGCACTTAGAGGGCGCGCACTTAGAGGGCGCGCACTTAGAGGGCGCGCACTTAGAGGGCGCGAACTTAGAGGGCGCGCACTTAGAGGGCGCGCACTTAGAGGGCGCGCACTTAGAGGGCGCGCACTTAGAGGGCGCGCACTTAGAGGGAGGGCACTTAGAGGTCGCGCACTTAGAGGGCGCGCACTTAGAGGGAGGGCGCGCACTTAGAGGGAGGGCGCGCACTTAGAGGGCGCGCACTTAGAGGGAGGGCGCGCACTTAGAGGGCGCGCACTTAGAGGGCGCGCACTTAGAGGGCGCGCACTTAGAGGGCGCGCACTTAGAGGGCGCGCACTTAGAGGGCGCGCACTTAGAGGGAGGGCACTTAGAGGGAGGGCACTTAGAGGGCGCGCACTTAGAGGGAGGGCGCGCACTTAGAGGGCGCGCACTTAGAGGGCGCGCACTTAGAGGGAGGGCACTTAGAGGGCGCGCACTTAGAGGGCGCGCACTTAGAGGGAGGGCGCGCACTTAGAGGGCGCGCACTTAGAGGGCGCGCACTTAGAGGGAGGGCACTTAGAGGGCGCGCACTTAGAGGGCGCGCACTTGGAGGGCGCGACTGGAGGGCGCGCACTTGGAGGGCGCGCACTTGGAGGGCGCGCACTTGGAGGGCGCGCACTTGGAGGGCGCGCACTTAGAGGGCCCGCACTTAGAGGGCGCGCACTTAGAGGGCGCGCACTTAGAGGGCGCGCACTTAGAGGGCGCGCACTTAGAGGGCGCGCACTTAGAGGGCGCGCACTTAGAGGGCGCGCACTTAGAGGGCGCGCACTTAGAGGGCGCGCACTTAGAGGGCGCGCACTTAGAGGGCGCGCACTTAGAGGACGCGCACTTGGAGGGCGCGCACTTGGAGGGCGCGACTTGGAGGGCGCGCACTTGGAGGGCGCGCACTTGGAGGGCGCGCACTTGGAGGGCGCGCACTTAGAGGGCACGCACTTAGAGGGCGCGCACTTAGAGGGCGCGCACTTAGAGGGCGCGCACTTAGAGGGCGCGCACTTAGAGGGCGCGCACTTAGAGGGCGCGCACTTAGAGGGCGCGAACTTAGAGGGCGCGCACTTAGAGGGCGCGCACTTAGAGGGCGCGCACTTAGAGGGCGCGCACTTAGAGGGCGCGCACTTAGAGGGCGCGCACTTAGAGGGCGCGCACTTAGAGGGCGCGCACTTAGAGGGCGCGCACTTAGAGGGCGCGCACTTAGAGGGCGCGCACTTAGAGGGAGGGCACTTAGAGGTCGCGCACTTAGAGGGCGCGCACTTAGAGGGAGGGCGCGCACTTAGAGGGAGGGCGCGCACTTAGAGGGCGCGCACTTAGAGGGAGGGCGCGCACTTAGAGGGCGCGCACTTAGAGGGCGCGCACTTAGAGGGCGCGCACTTAGAGGGCGCGCACTTAGAGGGCGCGCACTTAGAGGGCGCGCACTTAGAGGGCGCGCACTTAGAGGGCGCGCACTTAGAGGGCGCGCACTTAGAGGGCGCGCACTTAGAGGGCGCGCACTTAGAGGGCGCGCACTTAGAGGGCGCGCACTTAGAGGGCGCGCACTTAGAGGGCGCGCACTTAGAGGGAGGGCGCGCACTTAGAGGGCGCGCACTTAGAGGGCGCGCACTTAGAGGGAGGGCACTTAGAGGGCGCGCACTTAGAGGGCGCGCACTTAGAGGGAGGGCGCTTAGAGGGCGCGCACTTAGAGGGCGAGCACTTAGAGGGCGCGCACTTAGAGGGCGCGCACTTAAAGGGCGCGCACTTAGAGGGCGCGCACTTAGAGGGCGCGCACTTAGAGGGCGCGCACTTAGAGGGCGCGCACTTAGAGGGCGCGAACTTAGAGGGCGCGCACTTAGAGGGCGCGCACTTAGAGGGCGCGCACTTAGAGGGCGCGCACTTAGAGGGCGCGCACTTAGAGGGAGGGCACTTAGAGGTCGCGCACTTAGAGGGCGCGCACTTAGAGGGAGGGCGCGCACTTAGAGGGAGGGCGCGCACTTAGAGGGCGCGCACTTAGAGGGAGGGCGCGCACTTAGAGGGCGCGCACTTAGAGGGCGCGCACTTAGAGGGCGCGCACTTAGAGGGCGCGCACTTAGAGGGCGCGCACTTAGAGGGAGGGCACTTAGAGGTCGCGCACTTAGAGGGCGCGCACTTAGAGGGAGGGCGCGCACTTAGAGGGAGGGCGCGCACTTAGAGGGCGCGCACTTAGAGGGAGGGCGCGCACTTAGAGGGCGCGCACTTAGAGGGCGCGCACTTAGAGGGCGCGCACTTAGAGGGCGCGCACTTAGAGGGCGCGCACTTAGAGGGCGCGCACTTAGAGGGAGGGCACTTAGAGGTCGCGCACTTAGAGGGCGCGCACTTAGAGGGAGGGCGCGCACTTAGAGGGAGGGCGCGCACTTAGAGGGCGCGCACTTAGAGGGAGGGCGCGCACTTAGAGGGCGCGCACTTAGAGGGCGCGCACTTAGAGGGCGCGCACTTAGAGGGCGCGCACTTAGAGGGCGCGCACTTAGAGGGAGGGCACTTAGAGGTCGCGCACTTAGAGGGCGCGCACTTAGAGGGAGGGCGCGCACTTAGAGGGAGGGCGCGCACTTAGAGGGCGCGCACTTAGAGGGAGGGCGCGCACTTAGAGGGCGCGCACTTAGAGGGCGCGCACTTAGAGGGCGCGCACTTAGAGGGCGCGCACTTAGAGGGCGCGCACTTAGAGGGAGGGCGCGCACTTAGAGGGAGGGCGCGCACTTAGAGGGCGCGCACTTAGAGGGCGCGCACTTAGAGGGCGCGCACTTAGAGGGCGCGCACTTAGAGGGCGCGCACTTAGAGGGCGCGCACTTAGAGGGCGCGAACTTAGAGGGCGCGCACTTAGAGGGCGCGCACTTAGAGGGCGCGCACTTAGAGGGAGGGCACTTAGAGGGCGCGCACTTAGAGGGCGCGCACTTAGAGGGCGCGCACTTAGAGGGCGCGCACTTAGAGGGAGGGCGCGCACTTAGAGGGCGCGCACTTAGAGGGCGCGCACTTAGAGGGCGCGCACTTAGAGGGCGCGCACTTAGAGGGCGCGCACTTAGAGGGCGAGCACTTAGAGGGCGCGCACTTAGAGGGCGCGCACTTAAAGGGCGCGCACTTAGAGGGCGCGCACTTAGAGGGCGCGCACTTAGAGGGCGCGCACTTAGAGGGCGCGCACTTAGAGGGCGCGCACTTAGAGGGCGCGCACTTAGAGGGCGCGCACTTAGAGGGCGCGCACTTAGAGGGCGCGCACTTAGAGGGCGCGCACTTAGAGGGCGCGCACTTAGAGGGCGCGCACTTAGAGGGCGCGCACTTAGAGGGCGCGCACTTAGAGGGCGCGCACTTAGAGGGCGCGCACTTAGAGGGCGCGCACTTAGAGGGAGGGCACTTAGAGGTCGCGCACTTAGAGGGCGCGCACTTAGAGGGAGGGCGCGCACTTAGAGGGAGGGCGCGCACTTAGAGGGCGCGCACTTAGAGGGAGGGCGCGCACTTAGAGGGCGCGCACTTAGAGGGCGCGCACTTAGAGGGCGCGCACTTAGAGGGCGCGCACTTAGAGGGCGCGCACTTAGAGGGCGCGCACTTAGAGGGCGCGCACTTAGAGGGCGCGCACTTAGAGGGCGCGCACTTAGAGGGCGCGCACTTAGAGGGCGCGCACTTAGAGGGCGCGCACTTAGAGAGCGCGCACTTGGAGGGCGCGTACTTAGAGGGCGCGCACTTAGAGGGCGCGGACTTAGAGGGTGAGGACTTAGAGGGCGCGGACGGAGCAGCAAGGGGGTATCGACCTTGATATGGATGCCAGCAATGGTGGGAGGAGGGAAGGAGAGACACACTGACCTCGAGGCCGGCCACCTCATTGGTGGCAAAGTCCATGGCAGCGAAGAGCAGCGAGGGGCGGTCGTTGAGACGCTCTGCCAGACGTGTGAAGTGCGGCAGCAGATGGTCACATGACGGGCACTCGTCCGAAAAGCTCAGCTGCCATGGCAAGGGTGAGGGAGGTGGGGTGGAGTTGAGGATTGGGAGGGGGGAGATGCGAGACGTGTGGCAGCAGTCACATGTCGGACACTCGACTGCAACACTCAACTGCCCATGCATGTAGGCCGGAGAGGCGGATTGGGAAGGTGTGGGGGATGCGAGCTTTTTGAGGTTTTGCACGCGTGCAAGCTCTTAATGGTTATGGTAATAATAATGGTAATTATAGTGGTTATGGTAATGGTAACGGTAACGGTAACGGTAATGGTAATAGTAATGGTAATGGTAATGGTAGTGGTAATGGTAATGGTAATGGTAGTGGTAAAAATGATAATGGTAATGATAATGGTAATGCTAGTGGTAATGGTAGTGAAAATAATAGTGGTAATTGCAATGGTAATGGTAATGGTAGTGGTAATTTGTACAGCCTTTGCTTTGTCCGCACACATACGCGTGCATGGAACAGCATGGCATGTCATGTCACCATTTAAATCCTTCTCGCTTTAAAAGCATTCCCTTGGCAACCCCATTCATCCCTACCACCACCCACCCACTGTCACCATCCCTCACCCATTGCCACAACCACCTCCATCGCAAGCTCGTAGTACGTGCTGCCCACCACACACCACCACCACTCACCCAGCACCACCACACCGCATCCAGCAGCACCACCTGGCACCCACCATGAGCATGACGTCCATGGAATCATCCATCACAATCTCCTTAAACGTGCTGCCCACCACTGTGCGCACCACACCATCGTTCTGCCCCGCAAGAGCAGGGTAGCAGGGTAGAGGGTGTGGGGAGGAAGGTGGGAGGGTTGGGCGCACATGTGTACAGGGAAGGGAGGGGTGGAAGCGGGTGAACTGGTGAGCACAGATGCAAGACCATGATAACTTGCCATGCATCATGGCGACTCCATCCATGACACGTGGCCGTTCAGACCCCAAATGTACTCGGGCAGCAGGTCGCCCACCAAGAAGGTTGTCTTGGAATGTGAAATGCGGATTGTCAATCAGCGTTCACCACACACCTGCCCCACAGACACGCACCTGGTCAGGGACAGGGTCGTGCTTGTGCTAGGGCGGCAGCTCACCTGCCAAGTAGGACCCTTGAAAGCTCTCAAACAGCATTCACCATGCACCTGCGCACAGCACTCACCTTCCCTGCCACACACACCTGCCCCACGGGCCATGGGGCCACGCACCTGGTCAGGGACAGGGTCGGACTTGTAGTAGGGCGGCAGTTCACCTGCCAAGAAGGCTGTTATGAACTCCTGGCTAGGCGAGTGGGCACGGCAGCGTGGGAGAGAGGAAGGAGAGAAGGGAGAAGGGGGACGGGTGAGTTGTGTTTCAAGGAGGCACTTGGCAGGACATGGCGGAGCATGTGGTTGGGAGCAAGCAGGCTGTGCAGGGCACATGAGCGTGCAGACAGGCACACCTGCATGTTGGCCGCAGTGGGTTCCCCTGCCAGGCGGTGCTTGGACTCATGGTGCTCACCCTCTTCCGTGTATGAGAGCACAGCCAGCACGGCCGTCTCGTATAACGATTTACGATTGAATGCCGCGCACGAGCGGGCAAACGGACCTGCATGTTAGCCGGAGTGGGTTCCCCTGCGAGGCGGTGCTTGGACTCGTGGTGCTCGCCCTCCTCCGTGTATGAGACCACAGCCAGCACGGCCGTCTCGCCCTCGTGGATGCCAAAGTAGTCCATTGGCTGGCCTGACGTGTCCTCGTCACTGGAGTCCACGAGCATGAAGAACACCTGGGGGGGTGGGAGGGTTGAATGCAGGGCAGGCAGGGCAGCAAGCAGGGTATGCGGAGAGAGAACAGAGATGAGATGCTGTGCGTGGGGGGGATAAGAGTAGTTCACGGGCTGCCCTGGCGTGTCTTTCATTATCAGAGTCCACCAGCATTAAGAACATGCAGGGCAGCCCGTGAACTACACCTGGGGGTTTGCATGCAGGGCATGCATGTCGGCAACAGATGAGCTGCGGTGCACTGTGCACATGCCATGGAGCACATGCTTACCCTTCATGCCACTCTGTGCATCCCCACCCTTGCCCACGGGCTCACCTTGCCCACGTGCTCACCTTGCCCACGTGCTCACCTTGCCCACGTGCTCACCTTGCCCACGTGCTCACCTTGCCCACGTGCTCACCTTGCCCACGTGCTGCCTGGCCAGGGGAGTCAGCGCTTCCTCAAAGTGAGAGAAGTCAGTGCGCGGGCAGAAGATCACGATCTGAAAAGAGGGCAAGGGAGGCATGGGCAGTGGAAAGGCATGGCCGGATGAAAGGTGTGATTGGATAAGCCATTCGCAAGGGTAGGCATGGGAGGAATGAGCAACATGGCAAATCATCCAGCCACTTTTGTGAGTCATTATCCTTCTCTGCTCACAAGCCCTGTGCGCCCCTCCACTCCCTCATATGCCGTGTGCGGCCTTCCCACGCTGCCACCCCATCGCTCACATGCCACTTGGTGTTTTTCCCGAATTCCTCAGCAGCAGCATCGCCCATGTGCACAAAGAGCGGCAGCCTGTCGCCATGCACGTGAAATGAGATCGGTGTTGCCATGCCCAAACTCACATGCCACTTGGTGTTTTTGCCGAACTGCTCCGCAGCAGCATCGCCCATGTGCACAAAGAGCGGCAGCCTGTTGCCATGCACAAACTCTGCTATCGCCCTGCGCGTCAGTGGTCCCTCTGCGGGAGGGGATTGACAGGGATGGGATCATGGGTCAGCAGGATGGAAAGCAATGGCAGGGAGGGACGGGAAGGAGGGAATGGAGAGGCAAGCAGGCGGAATGAGGGGAACTGGAAGGAAGAGAGGTCTGAGCGAGAGTGCGAGGGTTGGCTTGGCAACAGAAACGAGTTGGGATGCAGGGGAGTGGGGGGTTGGGGGACGCTGGGGCGTGTGGGGGTGTGAGGGGATGCAGGGGCGCGTGTGTGGTGGGCCAAGCAGCGCACGGAAGGGAAGGAAGGTGTCGGTTCTGCTCTTGAGCACGGCCACCACGGCCCCCTCCGCGCCTGCACGCGCCAGGGCAGCAGCAGCGTCCCCTTGCCAGCCCAGCGCGGTGGCCACTGCAGCGTGCGTGGTGAGCGCGAACCGCACCCCCTCCACGTCCTTGGACGCGCCCCTGAACTCCGCTGCTGCTGTGCCCTGGGAGTGGGGGGAGAGGGGGGGACAGAAAGGGAGGGAGGACGGTGAATTGGGTTCCCCTGGTTTCACCTGCATCTCATGCCCACCTGCATCTCATGCCCACCTGCATCTCATGCCCACCTGCATCTCGTGCCCACCTGCATCTCGTGCCCACCTGCATCTCATGCCCACCTGCATCTCGTGCCCACCTGCATCTCATGCCCACCTGCATCTCGTGCCCACCTGCATCTCATGCCCACCTGCATCTCATGCCCACCTGCATCTCGTGCCCACCTGCATCTCATGCCCACCTGCATCTCGTGCCCACCTGCATCTCATGCCCACCTGCATCTCATGCCCACCTGCATCTCATGCCCACCTGCATCTCGTGCCCACCTGCATCTCATGCCCACCTGCATCTCATGCCCACCTGCATCTCGTGCCCACCTGCATCTCATGCCCACCTGCATCTCGTGCCCACCTGCATCTCATGCCCACCTGCATCTCGTGCCCACCTGCATCTCATGCCCACCTGCATCTCGTGCCCACCTGCATCTCATGCCCACCTGCATCTCATGCCCACCTGCATCTCGTGCCCACCTGCATCTCATGCCCACCTGCATCTCATGCCCACCTGCATCTCGTGCCCACCTGCATCTCATGCCCACCTGCATCTCATGCCCACCTGCATCTCATGCCCACCTGCATCTCGTGCCCACCTGCATCTCATGCCCACCTGCATCTCATGCCCACCTGCATCTCATGCCCACCTGCATCTCATGCCCACCTGCATCTCGTGCCCACCTGCATCTCTTGCTCACCTAAGCATCATGCACGAGGGCGAGGGCGAGCGCAGTGACGGAGAAATTGAGCAGCGAGTCGAGAGAGGGCAGGTCGGAGAGCGAGGGAGGGTCCAGCACGGCCACGCTGCATGTCATGCTCATGTGCGCACTTGCATGCTGTGCGCACTTGCATGCTGTGCTCACCTGAGTGTCATGCACGAGAGCGAGGGCGAGCGCAGTCACGGAGTCGTCCAGCAGCGAGTCGAGAGGGGGCAGGTCGGAGGGCGAGGCGGGCTCCAGCACGGCCACGCTGCGCCCGCTCTTCCGCGTCACCCACGCCACCACGTCCTCGCTGCAGGGGGGATGGGCGGATGGCGGAGAGAGGACGCGAAAGGAGAGTGAGCGGTGCAACGTGTGCGAAATTCCTCTCCACAGGGACAAAGAGCGGGCGCAGTGCCATCGTGGGACACACTCGTGTGGCATTTCAGACGATTCAGATTGGCTTTTGGGTCGACTCAACAGTGACCTCAAATGTCATCCCCCTCACCTGTGGAACTCATCGCACGGCTGCAGGCGTCCCTTCTCCGCCCACACGAACAGCGGCGGCTCGCCGTCGTCCCCAGCCCCCTCCGCGACCGCCCTCTGCAGCACCCCCGCGTGCTGCACCGCGTCCACCTTGCCCACCAACACCCCCCCGCCCGCCTCCTTCAGGGCCGCCGCCGCTTCCCGCAGCTGCGGGTGGGAGGAAGGGTGGGGGGGAGGGGGTTGGGGAGGGGGTTGAGGGGGGATTGGGGACCAAGGGGTGGGGAATGTAAGAATCAGGGGGTGGGGATTGGAGTTCAGGCGGAGAACCTGTGTGGTCATTGCGACGTGGACGGGTGGAGGGCAAAGTGGAAGCGTTTCGCTGCCACGTGCGTGGTTTCTAACAACCATCAGGACCAAAGCACACTTGCCGGCACGTGCGTGACGAGGCGAGTTACCGCGGCTGCAGTGCGCATAATGCGCGGCGCATTCAACCTCGTGCTGAGCCGCTGCTCGTGCTGTAGTACGATCCATGATTCGACTCAAAAATCGCTGCGGTGCTGGCTCACCTGGACCATGTAGTTCTTGCATCGCGGGCACGAGCTGTTGTACAGCAATGCGAGAACGTACTCGTGCTGCCCAAGAGCCTCGTCGAACGACGCCTCGCTCAGATTCACAATGTCGCCATCGTCGCCGTCCGGGATGTCGGGAAGCTGAGAAATGTCGTCATCCTTCGCTTGGTTCTCTGTGGTGATAGCTACTGGCAAGAGGGTGGCGAGGATAAGTAGGGCGAGAAGAAGAGTAGAATCATTTGCAGCCATGGCGGTCGATACTTGAAATGGATCAGGCGGATGGAGAGAGATGATGTGATGGATGGTCAGACAGAGACGATCTGCCCGTGTGTCTCTTTTCCTCGTCAGATAAGCAAGAGTGAGAGGGAGGAGGACGGACGATTTCAGTCAAGGGCCGAAGCGCAAATGATTCCTTGTCCTCGATGGGGCCGGACACTGTTCGAGCTTTCGTGTAGTGAATGACACGATATTGCCTTTCCAGATCCAGCCGAGAACATTCACTTGTGAGAAAATAGACTTCCACCTTAGTCATCATGAAAAATACCCTCATAAAATGCGTTTTCATACGGTACTTTCTAGACTAAATATTTGTCTGGTCAAAATATTCTTATATCATAATAAGGCATAATCATGTGTTGTCTTCCCCTTTTTCATAATAAGGCATATCATAATGTCTCTCTTCCCCTTTATCCACTTTCTGTCTAGGATCATGTTATGTACGCTTACGATATATCAGCATAATCATTGTACATCATACATAATACTGCTTCATTAAAGGTGAACTTTGTTATAAAATACACCTACTTGGTAATGTGTACCGCTGTACTGCGATCGGCTAAAACGCAGATTTTTTTAATCCCCTCATGCTGGCGGGAGCAAGCACCAAGCGATTCAGCTGAGACCTGTTGGGCAACTTCAAGGGATCCTTGCAGATTCCAACTTGTTGCTTGCAGTTCCAAGTCTTTAGTTATTCCGCTTCCGAACACGGACATCTCGAGGATTAAGTTAATCGTCTCTGGTGCTGGCTTATTGGATTCGTGGCCGCAATACATTTTAGTGTTGATCGATAGTGTTTCATCGTCGCAATGGGGGTGAGGATCGTCTTTTTTTTCGAAAACATTGTCGTCGGTATTCGTGCTGACTAATGGCTCTCACTCGTTGCAGATCTCTGTCAAGGTGACTGGAATTACAGACAAGGCAGCACTTCAAGACATTTACGATTTCTTCTCGTTCTCCGGACCCATTGAAAGCATTAATCTTGAGAAAGAGTATGTGTCAACACATTACGTCTCTGAACTTTCGGTACTGTCAACAGTGATGTGACACCAGTGTACCTAACAACATAAAGTGGAAGATACTTATCATCTCCGCGGTGCGCATTCATATCGTGTTGACGTTGGCAGTGCGGAGGGTGACGTACAGACTGCTCACGTGACATTCTCCGAGCAGAAGTCAATGGAGACTGCTCTTCTGCTGACGGTAGGATTATATTCTGAGCTTCTTTCGGCGTTACGTCCATTTCCCGCATTCTATGATCCCGAGTGTGATGATGCGCATTGATAGCGTCGATGGTTTCGTTGACACGTCCGTCAATTCCATGTGTCAGGGTGCCATGATCTTGGACAAGGTCGTAATCGTGGAGCCAGCAACTGACTACGAACCTCCCAGCACGGCGAAGTTTTATGATACAACCAATGGAGACGGGAAGGTAGGCGCCCAATCCCTTCACCTGTATACGCTCACACAATGAAGAGAGAACGAGACAATTACATTATCATCGCTTCGTTAAATAAGAACGAAGCTTATCAACATGATTGTTTTCTGACATTTCAGGAGACTCCGAGCAGCCCAGCTACCAACATTGCCACAGCAGCTCAAGAGATGGTTCGCTCTCTCTTATCTCGCGGATACACCCTCGCTCAAGACGCCATGCAGCGCGCTCGTGACCTGGATGCCAGACTGGCTTTCTCTAGCTCTGCTGCTGCAGGCACTGCTGCCATTCGTGATGGCATTGTCGCCCTGCCATCCACAATCTCTGAAGGAGCCAAAACCGTTGGCACTAACGTCTCAGAAGGAGCCAAGGTCGTGGGCTCTACAATGGCAGAGGGTGCTAAGGCTGTTGGATCAACAGTCTCAGAGGGAGCGAAAGCTGTTGGATCAAGCGTTGCAGCCACTGCTGATTCGATCGACAAGAGGCTGTACATCTCACAGAGTTTCAAAGCAGGGACAGGAGCCTTGGCCAAGTCCTTAAGTGTCGTTGATGAAAGGCTGCACCTGTCTGAGACCACCAGAGGGGCGTTTGTGGCTGCCGAGACAAAGCTGAACGAGGCTGGAGAGATACTGGTGCAGAATAAACTCATTGCTTCCAGCAAGGACTTCGTGATGGGCGTCACTTCCAAGATATCAAATATAGTTGAAGGGGAGGCTAAGCCAGCTGCAGATGCTGCTGCTTCCGCTGAGGTTAGCAAGGATGGGGATGAAGCAGCCAAGCCGACTGAGCCTGAAACTGAGGGAACAGCTGCCAAAGACACTGTTGACGATGCTCCTGAAGCTGCTCCAGCTGCTTCGCCTGTTGATGCTGCAGCAGATAAGTCATCAGATGCGCCTGCACCAGCCAGTAAGTCGAAGGACGAAGACACCCCGGTTTTCTGATTGTGCCATGATACAGCAGTGAAGGTTCTGCATGGCAATTTTATTTCGGATTCATGAAAAGGAAACATATGGTGCAATGTATGATAGTTAGTAAGGTTCCCGTACAAGTGTTATTGAGTCTTGCATTTTGCCAGAGGTGCAACAGTGCACTACGATGCACCCTGCTCTTCGAGTGCTGACAGTGATGCATCTAGTTTTTCTGCAATGCTCCCGAGCCACACCTGCAGCCAAGAGGGGATTCAAAACATCTTGTCTGGATGAAAGACATGACCAAGAAAGGTGAAAGGCAAACTTCCGGTACCTTACTAAAAGGCCAAGAGGAAATGCTGAATGGTGGTGCGGTAACACACCTGATGGAGAGGCGTGAAGCCTCTGATAGTATCGCTGCCCATAATAATCACCCCATCTCCATCCCCTAGGGGCTGTACTATAGCTGCCTGTGGGACACGATATTTGCAGGGATGAAGCAAAGTAACGGCGCACACGAGGCAGATAAAGGCACAAAAGGCAGCAGAGGCAACACGAGCTTACCTGCGTGTTGTCTGGAAGAAAATCGAAAAGCTCGTATCTTGCTGGGAACAAGATTAGGTTAGCTAGATAATTTGCTGTTCAAGGGAGAAAACAAAGGAGTTAGGGTGCTGAAAGAAGAATGATAGGATCGTCTGGAAAAGCATAGCACACTCCTTTGTGTGAACATACGCCGTCCAGACTTGAGAGCCGTGGAACAGATGGAGCCTGAGAGAAGCTTCTTAGTGTCCACTGCAGCGGCAGCAGCATCAACAGTGGTAGTGACGCCGGGCATGCTGGAAACTGGAGCCATGCAGCCTGCCTGCAGAATACACTGTCCCTTGAAAATTAGAACTAGAGCGCGGCAGGGAGTGTTGAAACTGAGTGAAGTCCAGGCCCTGAGAAGGGAAGCAGTAGCAAGATCCAGAGGAGGCGACGATTACAGCCACTCCAAGGAGAGACCAAGGAAAAAAACTGTGGCTGGGAAAACTGTAAAATGCACTAGCAAGCACGAGTCCAAGGAACTGTTTGATGAAGACGAGGGAAGGCGTACGTGCCAGTTCAGCTCTTGTTGAATGGGTTGAGGCAGGGATGGCAGCATGCGGTAGCAGGGAACACCATTGAGGGCCACCTGAAGCCATGCCAGGAAGGGAAGCACTACAGGTTAAACTGAATGGAGTGTTGGAACAAATAGTAACTCTATAATGTAGAAAAGCCCACTTCTATTTGCAACAAGTGTAGACTCCTTGCATCACTGGTTCGGGCATACGAACGCTGGCAGGGTGGGCCATACCGGGGTCTGTGGTTTGGGTCGCAGCGCCAGCCACGAGAGTCCCGACAGCACCATAGAGGCGGCCAGGACAAGGCAGATGACGTCAGCACGTGCCTGCGCGCTGGCAGAGAAAAGACAGGCGAAGTAAGGGGGAGCGGATGGATGGCGCGCGGTGAGGGGAGGGGAGGGGCGTATGGTGAGGGGAGGGGCACGTGGAGGGGGGTAGGGAGGGTGTTCGGCGCACAGGGAACAGGCAGCCCACGGCGCGCTGGACGCCCCTCCCCTCGGAGGGGCGAGCGCACAGAAGCAGCGGCGAGCTTCTCTCACCTGCCCGCGTCAGCGACGGCAGGAATGCCCCACACCACGCGGTTGACCAGCACTACGGCTCCGCCCGCCGCGCCCGCTGCGAGCGGCAGCAGCCTGAGCGCGTCCGCATAGCGCGCCACCCAGTCTTCCGCGCCCGCGGCTGTTGAGGACTGCCCGTTATTAGTCGCGGAGCAGCGCACGCGATTTCCCTGACCTCCGCGGCTCACTTGAAGCGGGGAATGATTGCGGGCTCTTGCCAGCTTACGCTCCTGCAGACTAATTTCTTTTCCGCCATTGACTACTCGAGGAGCGAGGAAAACAACAGATGGACGAAGAAATGCGTGCCCGTGAGCTGAAAAAGGGGGTCGAGGCGCGGTTTTCGTGAATAATGGCCGCACATGAAGATTCATAGTCGACATGGTGAATGGCTTGAATTTGGGGTAATGGTTGTTGTCAGATTTTGATGCCGTAGTAATAGAAATTACTCCATAGGAAATTCAAGTTACTCGACAACATATTCAAATCTTTATGCAGTCTACCTGTATCGAGTATGGAAATTGAGCTGGAGTGTCTGCTGGACGCCACGTCAAAAAAAGGCCGTCAACCAATCAAATTGGGCGATCTGACCCTCCAGAAGCCAGGCGGGAAACAATTCCCGAGGAAAATGTCAGCTCCCTTTCAGCGAACCCGAAATCTGGTAACCGCTAGCCGTCGCAAGTCCTTCTAGAACGTCAAGGACTGCCTCGTCACTCCACGTCCAGCCAATCGTAAGCGACCAACTGCTGGCGAAACGGCATTGACCGACCTTCTGGACGTCGTCGCTGTGCTTCTGCGATTCGCTCTGATGCCGTCAGTCGCGCGAGCCTCGCCTCATCCAAATGCAGAGAGATCCGCCTCTCCTCCACTCTCGTAGCCATCTCTCCCACCCAGCTCCCCTCCTCTCCCTGATTCTCAAAATCTTCTCTATCATCCTCGAGCATTGTTGCATTGTCGCATCTTTTCACGGATCTTAGCACATCCATCCGTTTCTGAGAATTAGTGCTCAGATTGCAGCCTTAGGAATGGCTCCGCGGAGCTGCCTCGTGGCGCTCCTCGCATTCCTCCTCGTATTCCAGACTCTCTCAGGTAATTTCAAGCTTAGCGTGAGGTGTTGATTATGTGTAGGATTCGTTTTCCGCTCCTGTAAGCTAAACTCAGAATGCGTTTACACTTCCCTTCGCAGTTACACCGCAAGTGCAGGCGGAGGAGACGAAGGACGTGGGTACCAATGGCGATCTTCCCAGGGTCGAGGAGCCGATCGGAGCCGTTCCTACTGGATCGACCACAGACACCCAAACCCAGCAGAGGTACGCATGCTCAATCCTTAATCATTTCAGCAGCCTCTACTCCGTCTAATTCATCTCTAACATCTGCATTAATGCCGTGCTGACGCGACGCGTGGTGGCGGTGCGGCAGGGAGAAGAGCTCGATGAGGCGGTCGGGCGAGAAGTTCCAGTTCCAGGCGGAGGTGCACCGGCTGATGGACATTCTCATCAACTCGCTCTACAGCAACAAGGACGTCTTCCTCCGTGAACTCATCTCCAACGCCTCCGACGTCCGTGCCTCTCAACCTCGCGTTAATTTTCCTTTCCAATCCACCAATTTGACCTTGACACATTCTTTTAAAGAAGAAGAAGGAAAAAAAACATGAAGAACAAGATTTCAAAACGAGAAATTTATGCATTTTGTTGTTATTCTTTCTGCCGGTGCATTGTCGCGTGTGTCCAGGCTCTGGACAAGATTCGCTTCCTGTCGCTCACGGACAAGTCCATCCTGGGCGAGGGCGACAACACCAAGCTCGAGATCCAGGTGCGCCTCGCCTCCTCTACCCTGCTAATCTCTCTTCATCTGCTGTCCTGTCAGTCCGTTTAGTGTGCGCATTGTTCCTCATCCGCGCATTGTTGCTGATTCTCGCATGGTTAGTAATCCTCCCCTGCTCGATGCGCTCATCGCGACCGTTGGATGCGCGCAGATCAAGCTGGACAAGGAGAACAAGGTGCTGTCGATCCGCGATCGCGGTATCGGCATGACCAAGGACGACCTTATCAAAAACCTCGGCACCATTGCCAAGTCCGGCACCTCTGGTGAGCCTTCCTCTTACTGACTTTCGTCCCAGGTTATTCTCACGCGAAAGGCGGGATTTTTGCTCGCAATGTGGACCCGCAATGTGATCTCGCAAGGACACCGTGGAATGTATCAAATCAACCGTAAGCCTGTAGGAATCAAATCACCATGCATGGATGTATAAATGACATCTGACGCTCACCCGCATACTGCCTGCTCTCCGTTTCGTGCAGCGTTCCTGGAGCGCATGCAGAAGAGCGGCGACATCAACCTGATTGGTCAGTTCGGCGTGGGGTTCTACTCCGTGTACCTGGTGGGCGACCGCGTGGAGGTGCGCTCCAAGCACAACGACGACTCCGCGTGGGTGTGGGCCAGCGCCGCCGACGGCAACTTCGAGGTGTACCCCGATGACGCGGAGGAGGACGAGCCGCTGGGACGCGGCACGGAGATCCGCATTCACCTCAAGGAGGAGGCCAGCGAGTACCTCTCGGAGGATAAGCTCAAGGTGTGTACCCGTTACAAGGTTGTTTGAGACGTTTTAAAACACGGAGACCGTGTTCAGGTCAAGGACGAGGCCAGCGAGTACCTGTCGGAGGATAAGCTCAAGGTGAGGAGGGGTGGCAGGTGGGGAGGAGGGGCATGTTTGTGTGTGTACCCGTGGTAATGTTTGAGATGTCGGTAAGCACGGAAATTTGGTTTCATGTAAGGACGAGGCGAGCGAGTGCGCCTCGGAAAATAAGCTCAAGGTGAGGTGGAGGAGGGGCGTCCTCGTGCGTATCCGCTATAAGCTTGATTCGAGAAAGTGAGCGTTACATTTCAGCTCACATACACTTTTAGTTGGAATAAGGGTGTGGTGCCGATCCCTTCCTTGTCCGTTGACGCCGAATGCTGGCGTGCGTGTCGTGGTGGTTGGTCCCGTGTGTGCTGTGTGTATGGTGTGTGTGCGTGGAAGTAGCTGTGTCATGTTCTGTCACAACTTATCTGTGTGAAGAGATATACACAATTCATAGATTCCCCGTCTACATGTCCCACATTCTGACTTACATGGTCTCTCTGCCTTCGTCCCGTGCGTTCTGTCGTGCTCCCGTTTCTGTTGCGTCCGTGTCACCTGCGCAGGAGCTGGTGAAGAAGTACTCGCAGTTCATCAACTTCCCCATCTACATGTGGGGCAGCCGCGAGGTGGACGAGGAGGTGCCGGTGGAGGAGGAGGAGGTGGAGAAGGAGGAGGACAAGGACGACAAAGACAAGGACGACACCGAGACGGACGAAGGTGCGTCACGTCACGTGCAGCACCGCTGCTCATGACTGTAACCGCAGAGCGCTCTTTTCGTGCGGGCGATTGCTGTGGAGGAATATTCTTGTGAGGATTCTCGGAGTTGGAGAGAGATCTCTGTGTGGTGTGGTGTGGATGGGCGACTGGCAGCTGGTTCTGGAGCTCATCGTGTCTCACTGGATCTTCTATTGCTGTTTGCCTGTGTTTTGCGGCGTATGGTGGGGTTTGGGGCTGGGTGCATGGCCTGTGGCGTTGGTGTGTGCGTGGCGGGTGGCGGGTTGAGCAGAGGAGGACAAGGACAGCGAGGACGAGTCGGAGGACGAGGAGAAGGAGGAGGAAGAGGAGAAGAGTACGTCTCGTCCCTCTTACCCAACTTATCTCACTCTCATCTTTTGCCACCCTGCGCCTCTTTCAATCTTTTTTTCCTTCCAAAATCGCTCCTCCCGTCCTCCCTTTCAAGTCCCTCCTCCCGTCCCCACTATTCTAGTACCTCCTTCCATCCTCCCCCTTTCAAAGTCTCTCCTTCTGCCCCCTATCACAAAGTCGCTCCTCTCTCCCTCCCTTGTGCGTGGCGGCATGGTGGTGGTGGCCTGGCAGAGCCCAAGACGCGAGTGGAGAAGCGCACCAAGTGGGAGTGGGAGCTGCTGAACAGTGTCAAGGCCATCTGGCTGCGCAGCCCCAAGGACGTCACCGACGACGAGTATCGCGAGTTCTACAAGTCGCTCGCCAAGGTACGCCCCCTGCCCTGCACCGTGCTTCTACAAGTCGTTCGCCAAGGTAACCCCCCCTGCTCTGCCCCCTGCCCCCAGCCCCTTGCCTCCTGCTTCCTCCCCCCGTTTCCCCCCCCCTGCCCCCTTCCCCCTTCCCCTGCCCTCTGCCCCATGCGTGCTGCACTCGCGCGCGCCGTGCTGCGCACGCGGCCCTTCACCCCGCCCCTCCTCATCCCCTGCTCCCTCGCGCTTCCCAACCGTTCCGCCTCCGCGCCCCGCCGTCCACCCGCCCCCCGCCCCCGCGCGGGCAGGACTAACCGCTCTCATGGAAGCACTTCGGCGCTCTCTTTGCAGCTCAAGCCCTTGCTCTTCATCCTCCCCCAACCCCTCCCTGGCAACCCCCGCCTTTCTCCCCCATCTCCCGCGCCCACAGGACTACAGCACGGACAAGCCGCTATCCTGGGCGCACTTCTCAGCGGAGGGCGACGTGGAGTTCAAGGCAGTGCTGTTCATCCCGCCGCGCGCCGCATATGACATGTACGACAACTACTATGCCAACAAGGCGGCGCTGAAGCTGTACGTGCGGCGCGTGTTCATCAGCGAGGAGTTTGAGGAGCTGCTGCCCAAGTACCTCAACTTCCTCAAGGGCCTCGTGGACTCGGACTCGCTGCCGCTCAATGTATCTCGCGAGATGCTGCAGGCGCACAGCAGCCTCAAGACGATCCGCAAGAAGCTCGTGCGCAAGGCGCTTGATATGATCCGACGGCTGGCAGAGGACGAGGAGGAGGCCAAGGCCAAGGCCCAGGAGGAGCGTGAGAAGGAGGGCATTGCCGAGGATGGTCAGTACCCACCCCATCCCACATGCCGTGCATCCCGCCCCCTCGTGTGCCGTGTGTCCTGCCCCCTCGTGTCCAGTATGATCGTGGCACCCATTGTCACCCTTCCACCACCCGTTGTCACCAGCCTACACGCTCACTAGTTCTCCTATCTAATAATCGCGTGCCTGCCTCCCATTTCCCGCTCACAACCCCCCAAGACCCCATTCTCCTGCTGCACCTGCCTGCTCCTATCCCTCCAGACAAGGAGCGAGTGCCATCAGACGCGGAGACGCAGTACGAGGACTTTTGGCGCGAGTTTGGGCGCGCAATGAAGCTGGGCGTGATCGAGGACTCGTCCAACCGCATGCGCCTCGCCAAGCTGCTGCGCTTCAAGAGGTGCGGTGCCCTACTAGCAGTTGCATGGTGGGGTATGAGTGCAGAGCTCAGTAGGGGTGGGTTCAGGGGGTGGAAAGTGGATCAAATGTGCGAGCCACAAGCCTTTCTCCTCGCATCTCCTCGTCCCACGCAGCACACCACCTCAAAGTCTTTCCATCCCCCCCACTGTCCCTACCTCTCCTCCCTCCGCCCGCCAGCTCTAACGACCCCGAGAAGCTGACAAGCCTGGAGCAGTACGTGTCGCGCATGAAGCCGGGGCAGAAGGCCATCTACTACGTCACCGGGCCCAGCCGCGAGCAGCTGGAGCGCTCGCCCTTCATCGAGAAGCTGCGCAAGAAGGGCCTGGAGGTGCTGTTCCTCACCGAGCCTGTCGACGAGTACCTCATGCAGAACCTCACTGACTTTGATGATAAGAAGTTCCAGAATGCTTCTAAGGAGGATCTGAAGATTGGCGGGAAGAAGAGCAAGGAGAAGGAGAAGGAGATGAAGGAGGGCTTTAAGGATCTGCTCGCGTGGTGGAAGGAGCAGCTGGGCAGCAAGGAGGTGGAGGCGGTGAAGCTCAGCGAGCGCCTCGCGTCGTCCCCGTGCGTGGTGGTAACCAGCAAGTACGGGTGGAGTGCCAACATGGAGCGTATCATGACATCGCAGGCTCTTGGAGACCCGTCGCGGCAGTCGTACCTCAAGGGGAGGAAGATCCTGGAGGTCAACCCGCGGCACCCCATCGTGCAGCAGCTCAAGGAGCTCGTTGCTGCTGACCCCAAGGTGCGTAGGAGGGGGGGAGAAAGGGAGGAGAGGGTTTACAGCTCAGTGGTTATGCTTGAGAGCACTGCTTCCTGGAGCGGTGCAGCAGTGCAAGTTGATGGTGGTCTCTGACTACTGCTATGCAAAACACTTTCATGTTTCTCCCACGTCCTCTCATCTCTGCCTTCTGAACGCTGTGTCTGTGTGTCTGTGCTTGCGTGTGTGAGCGCGTGCATTCGTGTGTGTTGTGCATGTGCGTTCATTCTGGTGTGCGATGCAGGACGAGACGGCCATGAGTGTGGCGTCAACGCTGTACGAGACGGCGCTGATCGAGTCTGGCTTCTCTCTGGAGGACCCCACCAAGTTTGCAGCGCGCATCTTCTCCGCTCTCAGGACCAACCTCAACATTGATCCCAGTGCAGGCGTGGAGGAGGAAGAGGAGGACGAGGAGGGGATTGAGGAGAGCTCGGAGAGCAAGGTATGACAGCGGTGGTTGTAGCCAGCAGGGTGCATGGGTGCAGGTGTGGGCATGCAGGGCGGGGGGTCGCACGGGATGGCTGGGAATTGCTGGGGATGGTTGTTAGTTGCTGGGGAGGGGTGAGAGGATAATTTGCTATATTTTCTTCTCACTCTCCATGCATCTGTCCCCCTCATTCGTCCGTCTGATGTGTACATTCTTGTCTTTCTTGCTGTGGGCGTGCAGGGCGAAGATGGGATTGAGACAATCAGTCTGGGCGACGATGACGAGCCTGCAGAAGAGGATGCTGATGTGGACAATGAGGCAGCGGGGCTGGAGGATGCTGAAGACACGCATGATGAGCTCTAGGTGACACGGGGATTGGTTTTGGTAGAGGATAAATGGTAGTGCTTTTATTGAAACTTAATGACATCGCACTGTTTGACCCACCCACTCCACCAATCCTGGTGCACAAAACCGGGCGTGACACCTGGTTGTAGTCTGACACGAATGTAAAATCCCCACAGGTGCACACTGTGCAGTCAACCACCCGTCCCAGTGTCCCAGAGAGTGAGTGGATAGACTAGGGAAGAATGGAACCAAAAAAAAGAACCACGGTCGTTACTGTATCGTGTGGAAATAGCGCCCGATTCCATTATACTTGCATGGGCTGGGTTGCTCCTTGCCATTGAAGCCACCAGCCTCAATTAGGCGACCTGCTGTCAGCAAGGCACCTCATTCTCCATGATAGGGAAAAGAACAAGAATGCACACCACTGAAGAAAGTAAGGGCTACATCTGAGAGCATTGTTATACCAAGCAGCATTTGCAGACTTGCAAGCCGTGCACACGAATATCAAGTGGCACGGTACGAGAATGCGGGTGCCACATGCGAACGAAAATAATCAGTTGCTCTATTGAATGCAATGACAGACTATAATAGAACTAAATCCAGCTAGAAGAGGACCCCGTGCAGAAAGTGGTTAGGAAGAGTGGCAAAAGGTTTGGGGCGAAAATGCAGGCCTAACCAGGTAACATGGACCCTTCCTATAGAGTAAGGAATACTATTCCCCGTCCTTGTCTGTTTCACCGTAACTGTAAAATGAAAGTGTTACAGTCAACAAGGAGCATCATGTCATCAACCTGTAAGTTTCCTACGTAATTTCGTCATTTCCTCCTAAACGCGTCAAAACGGATTCAGAAAGATCGAGAGATATGCTGACGTGGTCACTATTCAGGTGAGGTGTCACCACCATAATTTCCGCGACCTGCTGTACAGCGCGTGCTGTCGCGTGGACGTGGTATGCGTTGTCATCAACTTGCTGATTTGATATTGCCCATCAGCCAGTGCTGATCGCACAGCCACCATATATGGATAAAAAGCTCACAAAATCGTAAAAGTCGTTCATTATTGATAAACATTTATTATCAGCAATAACGTTCTACACATTTTATCACTTGTCACCTTGTTGGAGATAGGCTGCCCTCCCACCACAGTTGTTGCCTAACGAATGATTTCTTTGCCGCGCGTATCTCAACCACAGTTACACCTACCCAAATTCTGCCGACTTTTAATGGCAGAGGTCGGCTCGCGTCGAGACGACACATTCACACAACCACACGCACATCAGCTCGCAGGTTGGGCGGCCAGTTGCGGCCGTCAGGTCAGCCGACCGACTGTGTTGGAGAAATTGGTGCGCAACTGCGGTGGTTGGAGCTGCTTGGCTTGGAGCCCTAAAACTGGGAGCAGGCAAGCTGACGCACATCCAGCTGCAGCCTGCGGTTCGACTGCGACCATTTACAGCGTGCAGTACAGCACATCGGTGTCTGCTGGCCGAACGTACTTTCTGGCGCTAAAACTGCTGTCCTTCCGAGGCTGCTGGTGGGCCAAATCCGTGCCGAAGCCGTCCCAGGTGTTTGTGGCTCACACCGAGCCTTTTCACATACGAGCAGGCTGATTGCATGGCTTTGCAACCGCCGAAGCGGTGGCTGGTGTGGCGAATCAGAGGCGTGGACCGAGCCTGAATTTTGCAAACGTGAACCTTCCTTACCATAACAGACCTTTCTTTCTTGCCGAACCAGCCATGGTTTGTAACATACCAGGCAAGACCGGAGGAGGCATGTTCACCCGTCCGATGGTGACAGGTGTGCATACCGAATTTGCAAATCGACGGCATTCCGTCCCTCGATTGCCGTCGACCATTGTCAGCTTGATCTTGCCCCTCCACGCCTGGCCAAATGATTGGCGCTGGACCCAAGCAGCACACACACCCTTCCGCCGTCCCCCTTCCGCCGACCCTCTTCCGCCGTCCCCCTTCCGCCGTCCCCCAGCCTTGCTTCGTCTGCCGTCGACCATTGTGACACTGTCCTTCTCGCTTGCCCGCGACCAACCAGCGAGCCCGCCCGCACCCTACCTAATGTCGTGGCTTCGGCGCGTGTGTCCACTGGGCAACTTGCCGAACCACATCCGTCGGCATCGAAGTCTGCGCGCTCCCCCATCACTCTCTCTCTCTCGGTCCTTCACCATCGCCCCTCCAGCCCACACAACACACGTGAGTTTCCCCCCACCGTACCCCCACCTCTCTCCCATTCTTCCCCCATCCCATGGTCCTACCCCTTTCCCCACATCTGGTCTGCTTCCTGCTCTTTCTCCGCCCGCCCACCAACGCTCGCCTCTCTTCGCGTTTGTTCGCATCTCCTCTTCTCCCCTACGCCGTCGCCGACCCCAACTAAACCAGCCTGGCCTGCTATTTCCTCAATCCCATCCCAATCCCAACTGCGGATCACATTGCTCCTCACCTCAGTCTTTCGTGGGTCACCTGTCCACACATTCTCTTTGGTTCATTCTCTTCGGTGCTCCCAAAGGCTCTCATTTCTGCAGCCTGGAGTTTCTCCACCATAATTGCTACCTCCTCCCTTTCATCAGATCGCCATATTAGAAGCATGCTCGCCGCCTCGCCTTCGTTTGCGCACCACGTGCTTCAGGATCGCTGGCACCAGCAGCAGCAGCATCAGCAGCATCAGCAGGCTATCTTCTCGAGCCCTCAACCCGTATACGAAGCGCACCACCACTCCGCCAGGCCCGCGCCTGGCGTCGCGGACAACAAGCTGCGCGAGCTCGCGTCCATGGCGTCCCTCGCGAACCACCCCGCGGCGCCGTCGCCGCCGCCGCCTGCATCGCACGCTCAGTCGCCACCCGCCGCTTTCCCCGACCCGTGGGGCGCGGGCTCCGACTCCCCGTGCGCGCAGTTCGTCGCTCAAAGCCCCCCCGACGGTCCGCCTCCTCGCCTGGCCGCCGGTTGCAACGAGGCTCTCCCGTCGCCGATCCCCACGCCGCCGTGCACGTGCTACTCGCGTCTGCCGGCCGGATGCGCGACGGATCCGCACGCGCCGACCGTCAAGTACATCGGCGTGCGCCTGCGCGGGCGCAACCGGTGGGTAGCGGAGATCAAAGACAACAACCACGGCGTGCGCAAGTGGCTCGGAACCTTCGCGTGCCCCGTGCAGGCCGCGCAGGCCTTCGACGCCGCGGCGCGCGCCATCCGCGGCCCGAAGACGAAGGCGAACTTCAAGCGCGGCGACGCGGAATTCGTGGAGCAAGTGCCCGAGGTGCTCTCCGTGCTCGCGTACTGCTCCTCGGGTAAGCCGCCGCAGGGCGCGGCGAACCTGGCGGGGTCGGCGGACGGTTTCGCGCGGAGAACGTCTCCGAAGCAGTCGTCTCCCGCGGGTCCGCCGGGTAGAAGGCCGGGCAGGGGCAAGCCGCCCTCCCCCTCCGCCGGCCCCTTGCCGCTCGCGATCGGCCCGCCGTCCATCGCCGCGCCGTCCTACGCGGCCGCACCGTCCTTCTCTGCCGCGCCGTACGCAGTGGACGCGACCCCACCCTGCGTCGCCACGCTGCATCATGCCGCTCCGCGCCTGTCCATGCCGCCGCCGCCGTCAGCGCTGGTCGCGCCAAGCCCCCTGCAGCTCACCGGGAATTACAACGCCGAAGCGTCGCCGCTAACGGCCTTCCCGCCTGCGCGCGCGCCGCATGAGATCGTTGTGAAGCGCGAAGTCCTGGCGTCGTCCTCCCTGCTGCCTATCGCGGCGTTCGCCGAGGCGCGCGCGGCGAGCGAGCACGCGGTGATTGTGCAGCCGGCGCACGCAGGCGGGCGCGCGGCGGCGGGCTGCGCGCCGCCAAGCGCAGTTGACGGCGTGACGTGGGTGGTGGCGGAGCCGGAGCAGGCGTCGCCGTGGCCCGCGCGGACGGCGGAGCCCGGCAGGTTCCCCCAGCTAGTGGCGCCCGCGCCCGCGCCCTACGCGCCATCATATCACCCACCTGCTCCGCAGTGGCGCGACGCGCAGGGGGAGCAGCGCGAAGTGCGATGCAGGAGAACGGAGGTGCAGATGGGTGCAGGAGGGGAGGGCGACTCGGCAGTGATCGAGTGCGCCTCGCTGTGGTCCCCGTGCCGCCCGGCTGATTCGAGCAGGGACGAGGACACATTCGCGCACACGCAATCCGCACATCCTGATGACATGGATGTCCGATCCTCAAGCCATGTCAGGCTCGGCAAGCGCAGGTCGCCCGAGCCTGCTGAAGGCCTTCAGTTGAATCAGTTGGCGCGGAACGCCGAGGCAAGCGCGCCTGCAGGCATGGGAGGGGTGCTCTCTCTGCTGTCCGTTGGGGCCCTCCAGTCGTCCGGCGAGAGGCTCGGCGGTAGACTCGGTGGCGAGAGTCTGAAGGTGAAGGGAATGAGCCTTTCGTCCCTCTTGCCCGTTGCCGAGCCTGCACTGACTCCCGAGGAGTTCGGTGAGCTTCGGAAGAGGCTCGGGTGGAAGGTGGTTCGGATGGAGGACCTGGAGGAAATCCCAAGGGTGGCTCGGGAAGCTCTGTTGAGGTTCAGGGGGGACAAGGACTTTACCATGCTGTCACTGTAGTAGACTCTGTAATTGTCCATTGGCGCAGGTAGGTAGGCCCGTCTCACAGTAGGATGCTAACTTTGTAGCATAAGTTCCGGTATCAGTATGTTCCTACGCTCTTATCAGGCAAACCTCTTGCCAGGCTTGCCTGGCAAAATTCGAGAAGGCTTTTGGGTTTAGGGAAATTTAAGTGTGTTTTGACGTGAGCCTGATAAGAGATTGGCCTGATAAGGGACCGTAGGAACATGCCCTAATAAGTGTTCAATTCAAGCCTGTGTTGAAAGGCCCTCGCTCAATCAGTTATGACACTAAGCTAGGTGAACATCAGAGGAGGACTCACTATAACACAAATAAGGTAGGAGGCTGCTCAAGGGTCACGGGACACCACTACAGTGCAAAACAATTAAATACCATACAACTGTTTGTGGATGTGAGACGAGGGTCATGACGAGGGTCACAACTCATGAGTCATGGCTCCGAGGGTAACTTCTTGTGCAGCCAGAGGTTGAGTCCGCCGTCCAGATGGAGGATGCTGCTGAACCCCGCCACATGCAGCTCGTAGCACGCCTTGAGAGACCTGCCAGCCACACAGCATAGGGCCATTAGGGTACAACACGCCCTCGTTAAATTCCACTCCACACTAAGTGCACGACAATGCACAGCACAGTATGAACCTACGATTCTACCCGTTTTCTCCATGACTCAACACGCCCCGCCCCTCCCCACCTGGACTGGATGTCGTATCGCTTGTCCGGGTCTCTGAATTCCATGCCTTAGCGCATCGACACGTTCTCTCCATGCCTCAACACCCCCCCCCCCCAACCCCCCCACCCCCACCCACCCCCCACCTGGACTGGAGGCCGAATCGCTTGTCGGGGTCCCTGAACTCCATGCCTTAGCGCATCGACACGTTCTCTCCATGCCTCAACACCCCCCCCATCCCCCCTCCCCCCCCATACCTGGACTGGAGGCCGAATCGCTTGTCAGGGTCTCGGAACTCCATGCCTTTGCGCATCGACACGTTCTGCAGCGTGCCGCCGCGCCCGCACATCACAATCACAGTGCGGCTCTTATCCCCCCCCACCGCCGCCTCCGCCTGCTTGAGCAGTTCCGGATTGCGCTCCGTGCCCTTGAAGTCCCCCATTGCCGCGTACCCCACGCGGCGGGCCCACGCGGTGAGATCGCTGCCTTGGATGAGGCGGAAGAGCGGCGCGCTCGCTGCCCCGCGCGCATGCACCTCCTCGTAGTCCCCCGCTTCCCGCACGTCCAGCAGCACTGCCCGCCCGCTCCCACTGCCCTCCGTGCTTCCACTCCCACTGCCCTCGCTGGCCTCTGACCCGTCAGTGGTGCCGTAGGCCATGGCTGCTGCCTCCTCTGGTGAGATGCTTTTGAGCCCGAGCGATTTGAGCTCATTGAACACCACTGCGGAGGGGAGATGGAGGCAGAGGGAGGGGTGGGGGAGGGAAGGCGTTGATGTGGAATGGGAGGGGGAGTGTGGGGGTGTGGCAGGAGCGTGGGGGTGTGGCAGGAGCGTGGGGGTGGTGTGGCAGGAGCGTGGGGGTGTGGCAGGAGCGTGGGGGTGTGGCAGGAGCGTGGGGGTGTGGCAGGAGCGTGGGGGTGTGGCAGGAGCGTGGGGGTGTGGCAGGAGCGTGGGGGTGTGGCAGGAGCGTGGGGGTGTGGCAGGAGCGTGGGGGTGTGGCAGGTGTTGGACGAGGAGGCGCGGTTCTGTGTGGCACGGTGATTGTGGGGGTGAGGAAGCGCAGTGGCGGCTCAGGGACTATTTCTCAGGGACATCAGGAATAGCTGCACGTGGAGCTTGTAGCGTCGGCTTGCATACATGCAGCGATGATGCAGCGATGATGCAGCAACGCAGTGAGATAAGTGCAAGAGGGAGAACAATAAGTGTGGAGGGCTGGGATGGATGCACCTGTGTAGACTGTGCCAGCAAGCCACATACATACCGTATTAGCAAGCCAAATTCATTAACCTCTCAGCAGCAGGCCACATACATACCGTACCAGGAGGTGTATTCGAAGGAGCCGTCAAATAGGGTGTCTACTCGCCCCTTCTTCGGCGCGCTCTCCTGCGAATGACACGAAATTCATGGCATGGCGCGAGATGCATCCCAATGCACCGAGTTATCGTATGCCACGGAATCCATTGCATTGGGACGGCGAGCATTGCATGTCGCCGCAATCATCCCATCTAACGGCGATTATTTCATGGCATGTCAATTATCGCATGGCAGGCGATTATTGCATCAGCTATTTGGCACGCGGCTACACCTACCTTATCCGAAACCTGCGCCCGCGGCTGCACCGCAAGAGCGCGTCCTCTGCCATTCGTAGCACCAGCTAGTGCCACGTGGCTGCGCACACAGTTTCGAGTGACGAACGCTGACGACGACAGAGGACAGGTGCTAACGCGAAGAGTGCACGCCATGGCGTCGCACCGTCGACCGTGCTGACACTACTACCGTGCCGACCTCGTGGTAATCTTCCAAAAGGCTGCAGCAATGGCTTTTCACACGGAGACTGCGCACTAGGGTGCTATGTGGGCGCAAGGCAGCGCCAAACAGTAGTGAGAGTGGAAAATATGTCGTCAACGAGTTCGCTTTGTTGGTGTTTCCGCTCGCAATCTCTTTCGCCTAGTCTCGCATGCCTATCAGGCAACGCCAAATCTGTGGTTGGCAAATGATGCCCCACAGCCTCCCCTAATGTCACTTTCTGGAAACTCTGCATTTCTTTCTATGGATGTTTTTGGAGTGTAGAGTTTCTGTGGAACTCGGGAAACCCAAGACGTCATTTGCAAACCCGAGGGCCTGACATTTATGGCCGACGTGGCGGACTATGGGATTGTGGGATCCAGCCAGCGAATGGGTTGGGTGAAAATAGCCAGCACAGCAGCGTCTGGGAAACGGCCGGACTGGGCGAGCAAATGCCACGTGTCCTTCAATCTGCTCGGCGCAATCGAGACTGTCGCACATGGCTAAGGGGATGGGATATGACCCATTTCATCGTATCCCACCATATTCGAATTCATTCAAACCCGTTCCACCCCATTCGGAGCTTCTATGAATCACTACCGGTGATCATACTGGTTGCTTTTGTCGAAGGCTCACAGACGGATAGCGTTTGACATTCTGTTTTGTGATTCTAGCATTCGAGCCTGTGATAGCAGGTTGACAGTGAAGGAAAGTAAGAGCTTTCGGTGTTGCGAAGCATCGTCCATCCCACTGCTTGAGAACCATCTGCAATGGCTGCCGTAACGTCGCTCGTCATTGAAATCGGTTCCTGTAGCATCACGGCAGAGAGGCTTGTTTCGCAAGCCCAGGCCCCGAAGCTGCTGCAGCGTCCACGATCAGCGTTTTTCGCGCAATGCCCACCGAAAGCACTCGTTTCTTGCAAGTCACAAAGCACGAGGCGCATGCTCCCAGCGATAGCGGCATCCGACAGCAGCACCGAGACGTCGGCGGCGGCGAGCGGCGGAGCAGCGGAGTATCTGGAGGTGTTGATAGAGTCGGACGCGGGTGTGAGCTATGATCACCTTCAGGACAAGCTCGCCGCGGGGCAATGGGAGGAGGCGGACAACGAGACGCGGCGGCTGGTGTGCGTGCTAGCCGGCGAGGCCGCTGCGAAGCGCAAGTGGGTGTACTTCACGGAGGTACAGAACATTCCCGATAAAGACCTCCTGACAATTGACCGGCTTTGGCGGGCGTACAGCAAGGACCGGTTCGGGTTCAGCGTGCAACGGAAAATGTGGCGCGCGATGAGCCGACAGTGGAAGCCGCTGTTCCTGCAGATCGGGTGGACGTACGGCCCCAACAGCACGTACAAGAAGTTCCCCATGGAATTCTCGTGGGAACTGGACGCGCCCGTGGGTCACCTGCCGCTGACGAACGCCCTGCGAGGCACGCAGCTGATTGAGAAGCTGTTCACGCATCCCGCGATGGCCGTGTTCGACGCCGACGAGACGATGCCGGACCTCGACACCGTGCCCAGTTTCGTCGCCGCGGAGCCGGAGAAGGGCGCCACCAGTCCCACCAGCAGTGGAGCCGTGGGAGGTACGACGTTTGACGAAGGCTTCAACAGCGCCGACTACGGGTTTTAAAGCGCTGCGAGTGGCAGAAAGGTCTAGTTTGTACGTTTGGCTTTCTGGCCTCTGCAAATTTCAATACGCCTTCTCGCGCGAATCTGTTTCGGATACGAATTTCACTTGTGGGCTTATTCGAACAAGCAGTCTTATGTCAAAGACAAACGCAATTTCTATAGATCCTTTCCACGGTGACACCCTTCATTCCTACGCACAAGCCTCACACACACACTATCCCGCTACTTACCCCGAACAATCCCAAAACCACGCAACCCCTCCCCTCCCCTCCCACTCGCCCTCCCCTCCCCTCCCCTCCCCTCCCCTCCCCTCCCACTCGCCCTCCCCTCCCCTCCCCTCCCCTCCCCTCCCACTCCCCCTCCCCTCCCCGTCACCCTCTCGCCACACCATTTATCTGGTACTGCCATCCTAGCACAACCCGCGTCCTCTGTCACCTTTGCCCCCATACCTCTGTTTCCTCACCTTCTAGTTTTCCCTCCAGCTGATTGCTTTCTATGTAGCCCCGTTTTCTTTCCGGTCACTCTCATCAATCCTCTTTCCCCTGTAGTCAACCTCCCACACCACAATCCTTCCGTTACTACGCCTTCCTCAGCCAATAGTCACAACACATTTTGTGCAGTCACCATTAGACACGACAATTGGTTAAGGGAAGTTTTACACTTGTTAGTGTTCCTGAGTCCAGGTTCCAAGAATTCTAATGTGTTCGGTTTTTGAGGTTGAATTATAATCTCGGGTATCTACCGCAAGCATTTCTATAGTGGCCTCTACTGAGTTCTACAACCTAGAGTAAAAAGGCTGCATTCCTGCATGCCAGTACTAGGCTAATGCACATAATCACACTGAAATCTGAGACAAATGAATATACATGCCACTGTACGGTACCAGCCATTATTGATTACAACCGGACTCTTTGCCACAATGAAGCATGTGTTTGGAACATCTTTAGCTGGATAACAGAAACAATGTCCTGCAGTATTCTAGTATCCTGCAGTCACCCCTCCGTCCACCACTAGAGTCTGCCCCGTGACATAACTCCCAGCCTCTGAAGCCAGGAACAGAACCACGTTTGCCAGTTCCTCTGGCCGACCCAGCCTTCCCATGGGAATCTGCTGCTCCATGCGCTTCCTAGCCTCTTCTGCCGTCACGCCCCATGCCTCTGCCCGCTTGGTGGCAAGATTGGCGATCCGTGCTGTGTCGAAGCTGCCTGGTGCCACGTTGTTGACTGTAATGCTGTGGCAGGCTAGGTCCTGCAGTTGAGGAAGTGGGAGGAACAGGGCGGGAGAGTGGGGCAGGGGGTGATGTGAAAGGCTGGTGCAGGTGAAGGGGCGAGGGAGAACAAGAGGAGCAAATGGAAGGTAGAGAGCAAGATTCTTACAAGAGAGAGGGTCTTGAGCATGCCAACGACAGCAGGGCGCATGGCATTGGAGAGAAGCAGGCCAGGGATGGGCTGCTTGACCGATGTGGATGTGATCACCACAATGCGACCCCATGAGGCTGTCTGCACATGAGAATGAAATGAATGCATGACATTGTTGGCATGGAATGAGATGAACTGCAGATGATCAAGATAAAAGAATTACAGGGTTAAAGATTCCAGAGGATGTCACCTTCGCGCTGCTCTGCTCACTGTGTACCTTCATGTGAGGCACTGCATGTTGAATGAGCCGCGTGGTGAACATGAGCGTTCCCTGAAACGCCTCCTGCCATTGTGCCTCTGTGACACTATCGAATGTGCCAGGAGGGGGCCCTCCACTGTTCGCCACAAGCACATGCAGCCCACCATAAGTCTGCAGATGAACAATGTCGGAGGAAGGGGAGGAGTGAGAGGAAAGAGAAATGGGAGTGTGAATGAGAAGAAAATGCAAGCAGCCCACCATAGGCCGCTACAAAATCCATGACATTTGTACTTCTGCAGAGCAGCGGAGTGAAATGTGCCATATGCAAAAACTTTTCGTTGAGTCAAATACATCTGAATATTATAAATGTGTACCTTCACTGTAGCATCCACAACGGCTTGAAGCTCGTCCGCCTTGAGAACGTCCGCCACGAGCGGCAGCACCTGCGCCCCCCCCACCTCTCCGCGGATCTTCTCCGCGGCCGCCTCAATGCGTTCGGCGGAGCGCGAAAATATCGCTACACGCGCTCCCGCCCTGACTGGGAGAGAGAAAAATAAAAGGGTCTTGGTGACGCAGGTACACAAAGTCGTCGTGGAAAAGCAGACGTCGGTGCGATGAAAAAGGGAAGTGTAGGCGAATGGAGGTAGACGGATAAAATTCGGGAAGAGGAAGAGCAGGCGCGATGGGAAAGATGTAGGAAGGTGGAAGGAGGACCGGCGAATGACGCGAACCTGGCGAACGCGAGAGCGCAGAAGTAACCGAGTCCCGCACTCGCTGCTGCGACCAGTGCTACCCGACCCTGGAGTCCTAGCGTAAGCGCCTCCATATGGGATGAATGCCAGAAATCTGTCTACGAAGCACTGGCGACTACGCAAAACGTATTTTTGCTGCGTGAAGGATGACAGAGTGGAGGTGAAATGGTTCCAAAATGCAGAGGGATGCGTCGTTTCGATTACGCCAGTAGAGGAAAGGTTGGGTTGGAATTACACGGTTTGCTTTTCACCAGGCCTTGTAACGCGTACGAACAGAAACTGTATGATTTCGAGTTTTTGGCCAAAACCGATTCTCTTTTTGCATGCTCGCTGCTCTGTCAGGGAGGGAAAACGCTCTGACTGACTGACAATCCTGGGAGTCCTAAATTCGGCTTGCCTCAGTAGTTCAGTGTGCTTGAGTCTCTGTTGGTCTTCTGTTACACAACTCTCTGGCCGACACGTCATGACTTCTTGCGTTCTCTGTTGCAGATTTCCAGCGCTTAATAAACTCGGTTTCACGTCAAGTCAAAGTAGTAGTCGTGTTCTTCGACCATATTCACACGAGCTGCGTCATGTAGTTTCCGTCTGCGACCAGATTCCGGTTACCTTCCGTGCGTCCCAATCTCGTCAGTTCTTTGCTCGGTTTCCCGTTACCATGGCGTCTCACAATCTCACTGACTCATCCGCCATATTGGAAGCTACGACTCCCGCTAAGGTGCACAAGAGCGCCGTTTGCGTGATTCCTCCGCAAGAGACCTGGGGTTCCATCCAAGCTATTCGTATTGTACATGATAAAGTGAGTCGGACTTAGAGGATGAGGTGCATAAATTCTCACGAATCGCATGCACATGTTGTTACCAAGCGTCGCCGTCGTTTCCATTGACAGCTCATGAATCCGTTCCACACGCTTTTCTGATTTTCTTATCTCGGCCAGCGTAGCACTACAAGCGCTGGATGCCTCACATGAACCTGCTGTACCCTTTTTGGGAAGACAATGCGGACAACTTCCACATAGCCGCGGAAATTATGGTATTTCAGAAAGCTTTAATTGTTTCTGTACGCCAACTACTGTTTTGAAAGTCACTGTGCGTTGTTGACTAATCCATGCTCTATCTTTCATTTTCTGAACCACGCCTGTCACACCTCCGCCGTGCAGCGAACAACGCTGGCAGGTACAGAGCCATTCGAGGTCCATCTCGCCTCATTCAACGTCTTCCACCACGGCAAGAGCTGCACTGTGTGGCTGCAGCCAACTCCCTCGCCGCCTCTCATCGCCCTTCAGCGCACACTGGAAGCTGCCTTCCCTGAGTGCAATGACCTCAGCCAAATTGTGGCTGACCGCTTCTGCCCTCACCTCTCCGTTGGCCAGGTGAGGAGATTAGGAAGTGTTACAGGCATCATCAGCTCGTGTCCGACTCGATTTATGATGACGATTGTGTTCTTTCTTAATTGAAACCTGAATTACTGGCAGTGGCGCACAAGGAAGGAGGCAGAAGCAGCCATCAGTTCATTCCAGGAAAAGTGGACGCCTATCACCTTTCAACTAACCTGTGTCTCGCTTATCAGTAGGCAAGGTATGCCTTTTCTCATATTTGGGTTACTGCTTCAAAGTTAATCCAACCATGGTTTGCCGCATCTTTTTCAAACCAAGACGACTTGTTTGTGTTTCAACCTCCCGCTTTTCTGTTCTTCTAATCCAGGTACTGTATTAGACGTCTCACGTTTTGCTCCTGCCAATGTCACTTGGTGGTGCTGCAGGTTACCATGATCCTTTCCTCGTGCAGGTGCAAGTGCCGCTAGGTGCCGCGCAGAAGGTTTCTGAAGTACATGCTAGCTAAATCAGGAACCACCATACCACCAGTTTATCAATATATTGAAGAAGCTCCAGTGCAATAGAAGAAAACAGCTCACACAGGTAAGCTCCTGGATTCTTCAAAATTTATGAATATCGATAAACTTCCACCTCCCGGACGCTCGTGGTCCTATGGTCCAGTGGTTACGTCGTACAGCTGGAGGACTCCCACCTTCTTTCAGGACGTCGCCCAGACATCAGCTGCCGTGATATCAGCTCTGGGACTACGTGGGCATTAGATGTTTCAGTTGCAGACCCGCAGCATGGTCCCCCAAACTCCAAGACTGCATCAGTAATCGGCTCAGCTGCATCTGCTCGCGAAACTGAGAAGCGGACCCTGTATGCATCTTCCTTACAAAACCGCCCAGACGTGAAGCTTCTTCCTCTCGTTCTTGAAACCTTCGGTTGCTTCAGCACGGCATTTCTCAGCTTCATCAAAGACTGCAGCAGACGAGGGGCGACTCGACTTCGTGACATGGGTGGTGCATCTGACCTGATTCCAGAGCTCTTCGAGACTAGCTACTTCAAGAGGATTTCCTTGGTGCACCAGCGTGAGCAGGCTCGAACCATCTGCCGTCGGACACAAATTCGTTACAGTGTTGACACACCCTCCGCCCCACCAGATCCCACCCCACCCTCCTTGGCTGACTTTGCGTACCTTGGTGTTGGTTCTTGAGACCTCATTGGGGGTCTCAACCTAGGATTGCAGTTGGGCCATTGCTAGTTAGGTAGCCTCCTGATGCTCAAATCCGTCTGTATCTTTTGTACACATATACATTG